ATAATAATACTCAAATGAAGGAATCTGGTGATCTGGTGTAGCAAGATGTTTTACACTCGTATTTACTCAGTAGGTTATTTTGATGGAGTTTTGATAGATCAACGTATGATACCATGCGTATTTTATGAAGGTAGGATCCTAATATGAGCTTTTAGTGCATCTAAATGTTCCAGCTTTACATATTAAAACAGGCATGCTATTCTCATGAAGGATATTAGTGCATTTACACAAAGGTTTTTTTAAACGGGCTTAAAAAATATGTGAAAAGATTCAGGTGCTTTTCTGAATCTTTTCACTTTTTTTTTCTTTCAAATGCTACGTATCACTACTTAAATCCTGTCATTTAAATACAATAATTGGAAATCAATCTTTAACATTGACACTAATTCCTAAGGTCGTTGGTATGTAAACATGTTTACATGTTTTCAAAAGGTAACACTGACCGATAGGTTTAGATTATATTGCCAAAAGTATTCGCTCACCTCGACTCACATATGAGTTTAAGTGACATTACATTCCTAATCCATAGGGTTTAATATAAAGTTGGTCCACCCTCTGTAGCTAGAACAGCTTCAACTCTTCTGGGACGGCTGTCCACAAGCATTAGGAATGTGTTTATAGGGATTTTTGACCATTATTCCAGAAGTGTATTTGTGAGGTCACATACTGATGTTGGATGAGAAGGCCTGGCTCTCATTCTCAGCTCTAATTCTCCTCAAAGGTATTCTGTCGGGTTAAGGTCAGGACAAGTCAAGTTCATTCACACCAGACTCTGCTATCCATGTCTTTAATGACCTTGCTTTGTGCTCTGCTACACACGCATATTGGAAGAGGAAGGGCCAAGCTCCAAACTGTTCCTACAAAGTTGGGAGCATAGAATTGCCAAAATGTCTTGGTATGCTGAAGTATTCAGAGTTCTTTTCACTGGAATTTAAGGGCCAAGCCCAGTTTCTGAAAACCAACCCCACACCCATAGGCGTACCAGGGGATACAAAAGCCGGTAAACAAATGGAAGTTCCGGCTTGTGGCGGAAGTTGCTCCCATAATTCACGCAAAGCATCATGGAACGTAGGAATAAAATGGATACATTCAACAATGAGAATATCTACCCCAGTGAATTATATAATAGGCTGCCCGAGACATTGTTTACTCATGGTTGCTTAAACTTTACAAGACCGACTGTTTTTAGTGACATTGTGGGTGTAAAATATTGAATAAAATGTTATGATACTTGACTGGCATTATCTTTATTCTTACATTTCACTCTATGACACGGAAAATTACAAGAGAATCGTACTTGTCTCCAAGTGCATTCTGTGTAAAACTTGTCACCAGTCGTCCACCAACGTCATCATCAGTCTCTTGACAACAGATGGCAAACTAGCTAGCATTTTTAAGGACTAAGTTAACAGGAGTGGAGATCCATGGGGCGACAAAGTGAAAAGGATGGAAAAAAAGAGAGCAAGGAAAAACCAAAAACTGGACGCATATATTGTTACAAATGTACTTTTTTAAAATATAATTTCTAATTCATTTTATATGATATTGAGAATTTGTGAATTTGATCTTATTCAGTTATTTTTACTTGTTGTTTTTGCCTGCGGAGGTCGCCCTTCTGCATTCTGCTTCGTTTGTGTCTCCTGGGGTTCCGTAGCTCGGTTCAGCCCTCATAGCATCTCCACTTCCCCCTCTTCCCTCACAGCGTTGTTCTGCGCTGCTGTGGGTAAGTCGGAGGAAAGTTCGCTGCTGCGATATTCGTTTGTTTTCTGTACAGATGTTGTTGTTTATGTTGAAGTTTTACCATATGATGTTTATTGTTATTAATTATTGTTATTATTGTTATTAATGTGTTATTTTGCAGTTTTGACCATGATTGTGGGGTTTTATAATCAGTTTTATTATAATTTTCTTTTTTTTATTTTGGCGCGAACAACCCAGTTCGGTTGAACATTGTTTTTATTCTCACATTTAGGCTGGAGTGCAGGGAGAGACTTGAAGAGGAGGTTGATTTGTTTTTTACTCTTCTCCCCCAGAATAAAGGATTTCATTGAAGCCTAGTTGAGTTGCTTCTGGAGACTCATTCATACCACCCGTTACACTGGTGGTGTGACCCTTTGGATCTAGAGTACAGATCAGCTCGACGCTCTTTGCCGTGGTTGCTGTGCGCCTGATCTGTTCTACAGTTCAGGATCCTTTTGTGGTCAGGTCAATAAGAGACTCTGAATTACAACACTTTTCTTTTACGATTACTGAGTGAAGTTCATGACTGTATAGCTCAGTGGGTAAGTCACCAGTCTTCCACCTGGGAGACCCGGGTTCAAATCCAGGCTGGGGCAAACAGTTACAACAGTGAAACTGAGCTGTGCAGTGTGGGTCCTTAGGCAAGACCCTTGGAGCTATATAGCCTACCTCATACCATGAGAGACATTGATAAGCACAACATGCCAGCTCAGACGTCGCCCGGCCAAACAAGTCTGCGTCAGGTGCTGGGGAACCAGAGCACCTTGATGACTGGAACAAGATGGAAATGGGCGAGAGATGAAAAATATATATATATGTATACATATATATACTGCTCAAAAAAATAAAGGGAACATTTCACTTTAATTTTGTGTGTGGCTCCAAATCCAGGCCTCCATTGGTTAATAAATTTGATTTCCATTGATGATTTTTTGTGGGATTTTGTTGTCAGCACATTCAACTTTGAACAGAACTAAGAATTTAATGAGAATATTTCATTCATTCAGATCTAGGATGTGTTATTTGAGTGTTCCCTTTATTTTTTTGAGCAGTATATTTTATGGTGTGCTACATTTTTTTTAATGTCAATCCCATTAAAAGTGATTGTTCTGCTTTGTTTTTTTTTTTTTTTTTTGATTGGAAATCAAAAAAAACCAAAAAATGTACTGTGGTACATTTTATGGTTAAACGTAGCTGGTGTGTTAGCAATGGATCAGTTTACTACTCCTAAATTGCCTAAAGGTCGAGGAGTGTGGTTCAGCCGTACTGCTGACAGTGGAGGATATTCAAGATATCAAGATAGGATATTCAAAACTCACATATGATGCTAGTGCAGAATCAGGGCTATGGCAGAGCCAAGGCTGTAGCAGTCTACTGATGGGTTCATGAGGGAGAATCCCCCTACTTCCACACCCTGCAGTGATGTTGATGCCTTTCATCGCCTTACAGACATGGTTGGGCAGTTAGGTGCACAAATTGGTGAATCAATTGTTTCTAAACTAATGTCAGCTGGTGTTGTAAATATGAATAGTGAGCCTCAGCCTTCTTGTGGCACTCAGAACTCATGCTGTGACAGTGACAGACATGAACTATCTCATGTGACAGTCCATGTTAAACCTGATAGGGTGCTTCAGACATATCGAGGCAACCACACTGATAGATGTTCAATCCGTGACTGGATTGACTTGACTAAAATGCACCTCAGAAAACAAGAAATACCTACCTGTGGTCAAGGAGAAGAGATCATGTGCCACTTAATGGGCAAAGCAAAGGATGTGGTGCAGATTGCATTGCGCAGTGATCCTTCACTTGATGTTAAAAAGAATCCTGCACTGATATATGATGTTCTTCTCCATTACTTCAGTGAAACCCCATCATGTCTCCCCCTCACTGATTTCTATGCTACTCTGCCCAGACACAGGTTGATTATTGGATAAGACTAAACAAGGCAGCAGACTTAGCTTTTGAGAGTCAGCGTAAAAGTGGGAAACAAAAGGATGAATGATGAAGTGGCTCTCATGTTCGTCAAACACTGTCCTGACCCAGAGTTATCCTGCATTTTGAAGTGTAAGCCAGCTCGTGAGTGGACTTCACGTGATGTTCAGTTAAGGATTGATGACTACCAGAGAGAGTTAAGGGCAGCTAGCAAAGCAGCTGGTGCTCCACAGCTAAGAAGCCAGGTTGCTGCCATCAACCCAGAGCAGCCTATCCCAGTGTCACCTGGCCTGGCAGCTTATGAGGATTGTTACTCTCCTTACCATTGTTATGCTCATTACCTTCACCCTCCTTTCTCCAATCTCAACATCACTCTTCATGCCAGTCTCCAGCAGCTTCCTGTCAGGGTGGCTCTCAGGACACTAGAATCAAAAACTCAATCCCACTTGTTACACAACATCTTCAGCAATCAGAGGAGAGCTTTCTCACTCGAATGGTTGACATGTTTCAGCAGAAGATGGAGAGGATGCAGCAACGCAGTACTTTTCGTCCTACCCAGGGTGGGAGGTTCCAGCATGTGCCTCGTGAACAACGCAGCAGAGAGGCAGGTTGCAAAGTCTGTAATGACTCAAGTCACACCACTACTTCGCACTGCATGTCTGAAAGACTGTGTTTCGTTTGTTTTGCCCCTGGTCACACCAAACTAAATTGCCCCATGAAAAATCCTTCCCAGTCGGAGGGAAACTAGTGGACCTGTATTTGGAGGGAGGCAGTGCAGGTCACACTAATAACTCCCAAACTGATGACATGTCAGATGCTGAGACTGTATATACTTCAGAGAAGAGTTCATGTAGTAGCTCAGGAGTTGTTGTCTATCAGAATGTTCACAGAGTTAGCAGCAGTGACAGTATTTTCTACACCCCTGTGAACATAGGTGGGACATTTAAAATGGGCGTGTAACCCACAAGAAGGGTTACTTTAAATACCTTTAATAGTAGATAGCAAGTTAAGTTAATTTACTTTACTAAAACCAACACTACCAAAGTATAAGGAATTTGGGCCTGATCAGAAGATTCTAAATTCGGGGGAGCCTAGGTGTGAACAACAGAGGAGAGCACACAATGTATATATAAAAAGTAGAATTTAATTTAAAAAAATAAAATTAAATTTAATATAAACAACATTGTGGATCCACATTGTACAAATAAACAAAAATTGCGCGCTTTAAAAAAATTAAATTAAAAAAATAACCCAGTCTTTTGGATATCTGTCAATTGTTCTTTCAAGGTTTGTTTAGTCTTCTCAATGTGTCTGAACTATTTTTTATGTTTCACGGCTGGTGACCAGTCGGGTCACTGTCTACCAGTTCACTCGGTCCTCTGGGCTGGGGCTCGCCATCCAAGTTCTTTGTAAAGGTGATCTTGAGGTCTCTGGCACAATGTTCCAAAAGTGCACCATAAGAAAAAAACCTGACCTGGAAGAAGGTCAAAGTAAAGCATCTTAAAATTTAGGATGCTAATATCAACAAAGCAACAATTCAAATCTCAATCTAAAAGTGCCAAAGTACATTTATAACACTAAATCTAACATTTAAAATGTGGATTAGAAAACCGCATTACAGCACCATAACACCAATGTCAAAATATTAAAACACGTACTAATGGGAAAAGAAGCAAATCCACATAGGACAAATACAACATACACAACAACAATGATATAAAGCTTACAATACAATTTAATTTTTATTAAATTTGAACAGTTATTAGATATTTTAGCCATTATTTTAGCAAATTTACTGGCCAACGGCTGAGCGCGTGCAATTACTCACCGATGCTTCAATGCTACACAACCAGGGATTTTTTTTCGGAGGTCAGCTGTTAGAACAGCGCTTTTGGAGATCTAATTTAAAAAAAAAACAGATTCACTATTTTGAATGATGAATTCTGCGATAATAATTTAACATTGCCTTACCAATTTCCAGGATTCTTCAAAGAATTTAATGTAATCTTCTAGGAAGTTTACGGAACAACCGTCAGCTCTCAAGGGAGTTAGACGCAATCTGAGTTAAAGCTCAGCGTTGCAGTTAAAGGGGCGGGACAATCAACCTGATTGGCTGATGTGAAATCAGACTGTGCCAGTTATTGGTTGTTTAATCTGTCACTAAAAGCAATCACTAAAGGGATATTTCACAGGTTTTAAAGATTTTTAGCACTGTTTATATCAATATTTATGAACATATTTACAAACATATTCTTTTTTTTTTTTACTTTATTACCATTTTTTTTAATCTCGTTGTAGAATAAGATTAAATCAACATCTATTGATTTGTTGTGTTTTTAACACTGGGTTACAGGCGGAATGCTTGACAGTGGTTCAATGGCCTGCAGCATCAGTGAGGCAGCTGAAATGAAGCTGAAAGAGGCTGGAGTGATAACTGACCAAAACATAGTTGATGTGGATGTGGTTCTTGTTGGATGTGGCGGACTTCGAGTTAAGCCTAAAGGCGCTTTTGATGTGGAGATGGAAGTATATGGCTGTAAAATGGTGGTTCCAACGCTCGTTGTTCCAGGTCAGCATGATGACTTGATACTAGGCACCAATGTCATAAAACACATCCTGCATCAATCCAAGCAGTGTGAGTCCTACTGGAAGACGGTGTCCACCCCGTGTCCTTCTGGGGATCCGGAAACTGAACCTTTCCTGTCCATGCTGTCTGGTCTTAATCCATGGAAGGATGGAAATGCTCCTGATAAGGTTGGTACTGTAAAGTGTAACTCAGCTACCTACCTTGAGCCTGGGCGAGAGTATCTCGTGTAGGGAAAACTACCCAGAAACACTTCTGTTTCTCCAGGCAGCACCATCATGACAGAGCCCACATCATCCCGCTCAGTACCCCAGGGTGTTCTGGCTGTTAAGCTTGTGACTACATTGTGGGGAGACAGGTGGGTTCCATTGAAGCTCATCAACATGTCTGAAAGACCTGTATTATTGAGACTCAACACAAAGCTAGCTGATGTTTACCCCATTGTAGCGCTGAAGGACATGGATGGTGCAGAGTGCACAGAGATTCGACTTGCTGGTTTTGGACAATCTGTCATGCCACCAAGTGCGGATGCCGGTTTGGTCAAAGAGATGCTCAGATCAGTTGGGCTCGGTGATGTTGATATTGAGTCTTGTGAAGTTTCTGAGGACTGCAGGACAAGAATGGCTAATGTTGTTTTGCAGTATGAGAGTTTGTTTTCCCGCCACCATCTTGACTGTGGGGAAGCAAAGGGGTTTGTGCATCGTATTAACCTTTCCGACACCAGACCCTTCCGGCTTCCATACAGGCGAGTACCCCCTGGCCAGTATCAGAAACTGCGGCAAGTCCTGAGTGAGATAGAAGAGAAGGAGATCATCAGGAAATCCACAAGCGAGTATGCATCACCTCTAGTGCTAGTGTGGAAGAAGAATGGAGATCTTCGTATCTGCACAGACTTTCGCTGGTTGAACAAGAGAACCCTGAGGGATGCCCATCCCCTTCCCCATCAGGCAGACTGCCTGGCACCATTGGGGGGAAACAGTCTGTTCAGTACCTTGGATTTGACCTCTGGGTTTTATAACATGCCACTCCACGAGGATGACAGGAAGTATTCAGCCTTTACCACTCCTATGGGCTTATATGAATACAACCGTCTGCCACAGGGTCTATGCAATAATCCTGGGAGCTTTATACGCATGATGACCAGCATATTCGGAGACCAGAACTATCTGAGCTTACTGTGCTATTTGGATGATTTGTTGGTTTTTGCACCTGATGAGGAATCTGCCTTGCGGCACCAGGAGATGGTGTTTGCTAGGTTGCATAGCCACAATTTGAAACTGGCTCCCAAAAAGTGTTTCTTTCTTAGGAGATCCGTCAAGTTTCTTGGCGACATTGTTGGTGAAGCTGGTGTTTCAACAGACCCAAGTAAGGTCGAGGTCATCACCAACATGACAACTGCTCAACTCATGGAATCAGATGGTGTGACTCCATCTCAGAAGCATCCTTTTTGGGGATGATAAACTACTATCAACATTTCGTGCCCAGGTACTCTGCCAACGCCAAGTCGCTGTTTGATCTACTAAAAGGTGACAAAAGGAAAGGCAAACGTCATCAGAATAAACTCCCATCCAGAAAGTTGAAAGCCTCTGACTGGACTATGACACACGTACAAGCCTTTGAACAACTGAAGTCCTCACTGACACAAAGCATTGTCTTGGCTCACCCGGATTTCACCTGATCTTTCGTGTTATCCACTGATGCATCCCTGGATGGCATAGGTGCTGTTCTGTTTCAGGTTCAGCAGGGTGAGACACGAGCCAGGCCCATTGCTTTTGCCAGCAAGTCTCTGTCCCGGTCACAAAAGAACTACCCAGCTCACAGGTAGGAGTTTCTGGCATTGAAATGGTCTATCTGTGACAAGTTCAGCCACTGGTTGAAAGGCCATAAACTCACAGTCTGGACCGATAAAAATCCATTAACTCATATCCTGACAGTCCAGTTTAAGCCTAAACTGGACTGTTGTGAGCAATGCTGGGTGGCTAAATTGGCAAGTTACAACTTTGACATCAAGAGTCGTGAGCCATTTGTTCGGGAGACTGTTGGCCACAGGCTGCTCACTGAACCCTATGCTAGTCTTCTCGCTGAAGTTAGAGATGTGTCAAACTCCTCAATCCAGACTGCCTTCCGATCATCCAGTGGTCAGAAAGAATCTTTGTCAGTGAGTGTTAACAGTCAGTCAACATGCAGCCCACTACAACTGCTCCCTCAGTCTGTTGCAATGGAGGATGTGTCTGCTGTGTTACACTCACGAGTGGAGTGGGATGCTGGTGCGAGAACCCGTCATTGAAATGGTCCATCATCTGCCTCAGCTCATTCCATCTGGTCAAGACAGACAGTTGGAAGACAGAACTCTCTCATGCCTCTCACATCACACTATGTTGAGAGGCATAGAAGACCCTCTAGAAGAGAAAGGTTCACAGAGTCCATCTCTGTGACAAAGTATCTAAAGCACTGGGATAAACTAACTGTACGAAACGGTGTGCTATACAGGATTTCTCGGGACCAGAAAACCAAAGCTGGATTTTAAGTATACACTCAGGCCTTTTATTTGAGTGGGAAATATTTTCTCTTTATGT